CATGGATACAAAAATCACTGCTGAAATTGAGGTTACAGGGAACCTGGCAAATTATGATCGTAAATCCTATTCACATTGTTGTATAGGATGTCATTAGTATTAAATGCACATTATTGCATTACTGGATAAAGCATGCACTTAATGACAACAGACGGAGGACAAGTCAGTTCTTTATATAAACATGACAAAAGCCATCTTTAATCATTTGCAAAGCTGAATAAAATAGAAATCATTGCCAGTTGCTTTATTATGCAACAGACATCAAAGCTAAGAAATGGGCATGAGGAAAGGCTGCCATGGGAACACCAGCCATGGGCACAGCCCAGGTCACCCAGAACTTGGCCCACCAAATGGAGGCCCAAGGTGTTGTGCATCCCAAAGAGATACAGCCAGCCCTAGAGGAAAGTCTTTACAAGCTGCCTGGGAGTTTTTTGTTTCCCAGCACCTTGACACTTTGTTTTCATGCAAAAAATACTTTGTAGCATTATTAGGACATTAAGTGTCAAGACAGACTGTGAAGGCAGTACAGAACCCACACAGTTCTGCTCTTCTATGTCTGTTTTCAGCTTCTATTTCCCTTTGACTTCTCACATCCTCTTGGCCCTATCAGTGCTGACTCTGACCAATTGGAATGTAAGAATCATCTCACATACCTTCATCATGATGTGCTTTAGTGAGTGGAAGAGTCACAGAGCAGGATGCAAAGGAAGATGAGAAAGTGAGGAACTTCAAAACAAGCTTGCATCCATACAAAACAGAGGGGAGGGGATTTCTGAGACAGCATTGTGGGGAAGTAATATAACATGGATACAAAAATCACTGCTGAAATTGAGGTTACAGGGAATCTGAGAAAATATGAATGCAAACCTGAATTAAGCAGCAGTATAAGCACTGTGTCTTAAATGCACATTATAGGATAAAGCATACTCTTAATACCAACAGCAGTTTTAGGTTTCCCAGCAGTTTGAGGCTTTGTTTTCATCCAGAAATTACTACACAGTATCATCAGGACATTATGTGTCAAGACAGAACGTGAAGGGAGTACAGAACCCAACGTTGCTGTAAGTTTAAATCTGCACTCCTATGTCTGTTTTCAACTCCTGTTTCCCCTTAACATCTTGGGATATTGTGGCCACATCTGAGCTTACTCTGAACAATGGGAATTTGGGAGTCATCTCACATACCTTCCTCATGATGACCTTTAGTGAGTGGAAGAGTCACAGAGCAGGATGCAAAGAAAGACAAGAGCATTAGGAACTGCAAAACAACCCTGAACTTGCACAAAACAGAGGGGGTGGGGGATTTCTGAGACAGTATTGGGGGAAAATATAATAATAGAAATACAAAAATCACAACTGAAACTGAGGGAGCAGACAATTGGGGATACTATGAGCATAAACCCTATTTACACTGCTATATGCGATGTCATTTGTATTTAATGAACCTTACTGCATTAAGCATGCACTTATTACCAAGAGGACAAGGAAGCTCTTTATACCAACATGACAAAAGCCATCTTTAATCATTTCTAGTGCTAAGTAATATAGATAGAATGGCCAGTTGCTTTGTTACACAACAGGCATCAAAGCTAAGAAATGGACATGAGGAAAGGCTGCCATGGGAACACCAGCCATGGGCACAGCCACAGGTTGGCCAGCACTTGGCCCAACACAACATGAGGTCCAAAAATTTGTGCCTCCCAAAGAGGCACATGCATTCTCAGAGCACAGGGAATCCAAACTGCACAAGGGCTTTATGTTTCCCAGCACCTTGACACTTTGCTTTCATGCAACAATTACTATACAGTATCATCAGAACATGAAGTGTCAAGACAAACATGATGGGAGAACAGCACCCAAAACAGCTGTGAATTTAAATCTGCACTCCTATGTCTATTTTCAGCTTCTGTTTCCCCTTAACATCTCTAGTCGTGTTGGGCACGTCTGAACTCACTCTGTACAAGGGGAATTTGGGAGTCATCTCACATACCTTCGTCATGGTGAGCTTTAGTGAGTGGAGGAGTAACAGAGAAGGATGCAAAGGAAGACAAGAGCGTTAGGAACTGCAAGACAACCTTGAACTTGCACAAAACAGAGGGGGTGGGGGATTTCTGAGACAGTATTGGGAGAAAATAAAATAATACAAATATAAAAATCACTACTGAAATTGAGGGTGCAGGCAATCTGAGATACTATGAGCATAAACCCTATTTACACTGCTATATGCGATGTCATTTGTATTTAATGAACCTTACTGCATTAAGCATGCACTTATAACCAAGAGGAGAAGGAAGCTCTTTATATCAACATGACAAAAGCCATCCTTAATTATTTATAATGCTAAGTAATATAGATAGAATGGCCAGTTGCTTTGTTATGCAACAGGCATCAAAGCTAAGAAATGAGCAAAGCTGGGAGAAATGAACATGATGGGAGAACAGCACCCAACACAGCTTTAAGTTTAAATCTGCACTCCTATGTCTGTTTTCGACTCCTGTTTCTCTTTAACATCTCTGGTCATTTTGGCCACATCTGAACTCACTCTGTACAAGGGGAATTTGGGAGTCATCTCACGTACCTTCCTCATGATGCGCTTTAGTGAGTGGAAGAGTCACAGAGCAGGATGCAAAGAAAGACAAGAGCGTTAGGAACTGCAAGACAATGTTGTACTTGCACAGAACAGGGGGGAGGGGATAAAGAATAAACCTGATTTAACTGGCCACATCAGATCTCGTTTGTTTTAAATATGCATTACCTTCCCTATGGGCTTTAGGTGGGAAGTACCAGAGAACAGAATGCAAAGAAGCATTGAGGGAGGCACATTCATGCACAGACTGAATAATCTCTCGGGCCAGATGGTACAGTTTAATCCCAATAATGGATTTGCTAAGGGCAAGGAGGAGAAGGAATGAGAAATTAGCTGCACCAAGTGAGAGGATCAGACTACAGCAGGGGAGGTTTTGGAGGAAAGGTAGGAACCATAGGCAACACAGTGACTGTGTCATGCTCCCCTTTTCCCACACTTCAATTCCTCTCAGTGCTAAGGTGATGATGGGAAGGGATGAGGAAGGCCAAGGCACATACTTTCTTCATGAGCCCCAGCAGCTGGGATAGGCTGAGAGCCAGAACATTGAGATGGAAAATAAGAGCAGTTAGACTAAAGAGTATGTGAAAGCAATAGGGGATGTATAAAACATACAGGGATGTGAAATAGAGAGAAAAAAAAAAATGGAGACAGGTGAGCAGAGTGTGCCTGGATACAAGAAATGTAAATCCTTCATGACCTGTGCTCTGCAAAAACCCTGTCAGCTGCTCAGAGCTAATCTGCCCCTGCTATAAACAGGCTTATAAGTTTTTCATACATGCCCATAGAACAAAGCTTTGCAAATGCAAAGGGAACCAACCCACCCTTTGGCTCCCCATCGGAGCACCAAGCCCCAGACAAATGAAGTACAAAGGGTGAGTTTCTGTTCCAGCCCCTTTCCTGGTCCTGCAGACACCACACACCCTGCAGAGAGCCAGCTGAGTTATTTGCCAGTATCCTCACAGATGTAACTAATAACACCACAGAATGCAGGTGTTATTATTTATATTATATATAATACTATATATTATAGTCTATAACTCATAATATATATGTCATACTATATATAACATTACATATTATAGAATATGTACTGTGTAACACGTGGCTACACACATACCTTGCCACAGATAGATTTTGACTTTAAAATCCATCTGATCGTTATCTGCCAAGCTATGCAGGAGAAACCAGTTGATATGGGATATAGGCCTTCAGAGATAGACCTCAGCTGCTCTTTGGCTGGTGTTATCAACACCCAGGGCTGAAAACCAGCCTCAGAGCCTACTGTGGCCTGAAGGAGGGGATGGTGCCCACATTTCCCATGCTATTCCCTCCCCAAAACCAGTGGAGATGTCGATGGATACACAACTTATGGGGGACCCATGGTGGGACCCCAAAACTTCCTCAGAAGTGGCCTTCCTAAGAAGATGCCTTCCTAAACCAGTTGATCCTCATGTGGAAATGTAGAGGCTCAGGGGAAGTAAGTGTTTTCAGGTGAGGCATCCCTTGTCCCAGCATCGTTCTCTCGCCTGTTGTTTTCTTCTACACTGAGCCCTGCAAAGAGCAGAGCCTAGGTGTCCTTCCACATACCTTCTTCATGGACCTCTTCTGTGGGTGGCAACATCATGCAGTGAAGAGAATGAAGAAGAAAATTAAAACAGAAATGACTTTTTTTTTTAAAACGTCCTTGAGGTTTTCCAAGCACACAGGGTAAGAATACACAGTGATGAAATTACAGAATGAGAGAGAAATAAAAACAACATCTTTATGGGCATCTTATGGGGTTCTAAATGTTACTGAAAAACGAGAATATGACCACAAATAAAAAACACATTAAAAAGTCACCCACTAAGTTATCCTTATTAGAGCTGGTTGATGTTTCCTAAAGCTCAGTTTTGATGAAATTTTAACCACAAATAAAATTTCTCCATTCATTTTTTTTTTTAATCCATGTTTCTTGAACAGTTACAAATTTAGATTCAACATTCTTCAAATCTTGAACTGTTAAAGAAATTCATCACTGAATTTCAAGAAATGGATGCTAATTTCCCTCCACCACCCTTTTTTTTTTTTTAACCTAAGATTTATTTAAATCAAATAAAATTTCTTTCCATATACGTATATAACTACACACTTGTATATGTGTGTGCACATTTATGTATATATGCACTTTATGTATGTGCATCTATATATAAGAGACCCAGTTTCCTACCAGCTCAATAAGTGACATCAATAGCTGTCACTTCATTGATGTCTGTGGCTCAGGACCACATCCTGGCCACCAAGTGTGAACTGTTTGCTTTGTATTTCTTTGTACACATTCTTCCTCTGCACCAAGAGAGAAAGAAAGCAGAAGCCATGTCACATACCTGTTGCATGAGCTTCAGATGGCAAGCGTCATGGAACAAGAAGCCACAGCAAACAGGAAAATGGAAACAGAAAACTGTTAGAAACTGGTATTCTAGTCAGGTAAGGCCTGGAGAATGAGTGGTTAGAAAGTGATGGGAAAAAGTTATATGGGTTGCTTTGGAAGGTCAAGCAAAACTGGAGAACAGTGCAAAGTTACACATCAGAGGAGACGGTCATGCAGATAAAGAAAAGTAGGATTGTAGTCACCTGCCTTTTAATTTCAATTATTACAATATTGAAACTCAAAAGGAGACAGTAAGGGAAGGAAGGAGAGAGGAAAGAAGTACTTCTCCTTTTAGGAAGGCTTGTCTGAATGAATGACACCCTTTGCTCACTCTTTGGGTGTTTGACAAGGTGCGAAGAAGGATGGAGTATGAGCAGCACTTACACCTCCCCAACTCTGCCTCTCTGGGCAACAGCCAATGGAGACACCTCTTGCTGGAGACACCTGCACTTGTTGCTCTTGTGCCCTTGATCTCCTTATCTCCCTGGTAGGGATGCTGAGGGAAACACATCTATGCCTTAGAGCAGGAACTATTCTGAGCAAGCTCCCTTCTGTTCCCATCACTGCTGATGAGAATTACTTAGTGGCAGCAACCTGAGAGAAACCAGCTGCTCTGCATAAAGGCCCCAAGATGGACATTTCTTTTCTGCAGATGACAGAGTCTCAAAGGTGGGCAACATGGGCAGTTCCACCTCCCAGAAAAGGCTTTCACTTGACCCTTTAGAAAGTGTCTTGGACACGAAGTGAGCTCTTGGGAAAAAGTAAAACCCCTAAGGATGTGCCCCAGAGTTTTGCCCTCATTTCAGTTCCAGATACCATGGGAAAATGAAGGATGACAACTGACAGCTACACTTGCCTGAACACGTCAGAACTGCCCAGTAAAAAACAATGATACAGTTCCAAAATTTTCCCCTCCCTGCTAACTGCAGACTCTGAAACAAGTCAGGTGAAAAAGCTTGGGGGTGTGAAGGGCTTTTCATACTCCATCTTTCCAAAGCTTCTTCTGTGTCTCTAGCAGCTTGTCAAATCACCTTTTGCCAGCTAACGGTGCAACTGAAAGACTTCCTCTTTGCCAGCTAATTCCTTGCCTTGCCTTTTCCAGACTTCTCAGTACCCTGTGCCTGGTGCTCCTCTGGAGCCAGACAACCCACCCTCCTTTTCAATTTCAAGATTCTGCTTAATCACCAGCTCCTATTGCTCCTACAAATATCATGTTTTATCACAACATGTCTGCAGATCATGGTCCCAGCTTGGCCACGTTTTGACTGACAAATCAAGTGTTTCAGATCACCTTTAGTGGCAAGTGTCAAAGAGAGGGGTCAAATACAGACAAGAGAAAGGCAGAAGCAAGAATCCAGGAAAGATCAGTTACGTTCCAAGTATTTTGTTACCTTCTTCTTCGTATTCCTCTGCATTGAAATAGAGGAGGGGAAAAAAAAAAAAAGAAAAAAAAAAGCAGACAATCATCAACTTTAGCAGCTAACACACAGCCAATGACAGGTTACACATCAGTAGGATGTCACCCATGATAGAACCCTTTAAATTCACATGGATATAGGCAAGATGCCCTCAAAGGATCCACTTTCAAATCAAAAAGAGAAACAGCAAACAAGCTGCCTTTGAGAAGAAGCTGTACAACGGGAGGAGGGTAATATTGTACTGAATTTTTTTCTTGAGCAATGGAAGCTCATGTGTACAAGCATGTCAGGGGAAAGAGGTAGCAGAGAGGTCCAATGAGTATATAAAAAAAACAAACAAACAAACAACAGAAAAGGGAAAAAAACAAAAAACATATGTTGCTTAAGTATGCTGCATTTCTATGTTTTAAGACAGAAACTATATGTCTGCAACACTATCAAAATAAGTTGCCAGCAGGTGGCAGTGCCCCTACAAAAAAAGAGCAGCATCCCCCCCAACACAGTCAGGACGTCAGTTTTGGGCTGAAATCCCAACGTTTGCCCGCAGCACAGAGACAGACAAACACTGACGTGCAAAAAAGACAACGACACATACTTAGACATCAGGTAAAGCACCAGTACATTACAGTAAGAGAGCAACGATAGGCAGAAAGGAGAAGACAGACAGTGAACACTACAGACTTGCACAGAAGAAATTAGAGATTTGGACTTACCCTCTCCGTGCTCCCTGTGAGAAATATTAAAAAAAAAATTGTTATTGAAACTAAATTTTTTTCCCACTCCATATTATTGCCAAGCTATGCTGAAGAAATCCAATACATTTCTGCTTAAAATCTATGTTTTTTCTTCTTTCCCCCATTTTCTCTTTGCTCTCAAAAGAGTCACTTAGTTTTTAGATTATTAAAAGTCAGTTTACTAATGTTCCTGATTCTGCTGGTGCACATGGAGCCGTGTCCCAGCATAATGTTACCATCATATGATACCCACAAGAAAACACTCTGCAGAGGCTGATAAGACAGATGAACTTCAGCCCCTATGCACTGCGCATGATGGCCTTTAACTCCAGAGATGCCTACTAAAAATTTTGGATAAAGCAGATGCTGTTGCTGTTTATACCATGGCTATTATCACCTCAACTTTGTGTTCTGTTCCCATTCCTCACCTCTGCTCCCTAGCCTTTCCTGCACCACTGTCACCTAGCACAAAACCCAAACCTTGAACCTGCCATGCCTGATGGAGTCGGACAGGGCACAGCCAAAAGAGACCAAGCGAGGAATATCTTGGATAGATGTTGCTCTAAAAAATGTTGAATTTCATCTTAGGAAATTTTTTGTGTTTATTATGTAAGAGTTGGCTAGAATTAATGGCCTTGTAGTAAACGAAGAGGCTAACTGACCTCAGCAGGTCAGCACTTGAAGCCTCTGACCCTGTGATTGCCTTAAATCTCCCCTCTCTACCTATTGACGTAGAAATGCCAACTGATCTCATTGCACTTGGACACATTACTTTGTTGCATCAGGGCAGAAAGCAGTTACTCCACCACTCTGCATTTCATTCAGACTCCATTATGAGTAGCACCATGGCCTCCAAGGGCAAGTAGAGTCGGGTCAAGGTGCCAGGAAGACTTTCCCTGCTGCATGAACTCCAACAGACCCTTTGACACTTGGAGCCCCTTCCCTGCTGCTCAACGCTTTGGGGGTTGTGCATGGGGTGACAGCTGCCTCCCATCCCCATGGGAATGCCCTTGAGCACTCTGTGGAACAGAACAGATGAACGTGCAGGCAGCTCGCTCTCTACTTACACTTCCTCGGTATCAGACATGTTGGCAGTGAGTTTCTAGATAAGAGATGAAAAGAAGAAGAAAAAAGTGTTATTAGTAAGAAAGCTTCCTAAGTAATTCCAAGGCAGGAGCAGATGGGTTGACATTTGAAGACGAAAAAAGCCAGGCATCTGCTTTCCCACACAGCAGCCAATCCCCCATCAACACTGCCATTTTCGGAGTGCTACAGACCCCTGCCAGCCAGGTCAGATGAGAAGGAGAAGTAGCAAAGGGGAAAGATCAGCTGGCAAGATGTGCCCATCAATGCAGCCACCCTTGGGGTGGAAAATCTGGACCTGGCTTTGGGTTACTAAACCTCCAAGGATCAGGGAGATGGGCACAGGCCTTGCCCTCTTGCACCTGTCTGACATTTCCATCACTTCAGCAAGATCAGAGAAATTTTGCCTTCTTTTATGCTACTACAAATGGAAAGATCCCAGCTTTTAAGTGTTACTCAAAGCTAAAAAATACAGTAGTAATAAAAAACCCAACCACTCCACAGATTCATCCAGAGATAACTGTTTAATCGTCAGCATGCAGAAACTGTCATTAAGTGCATTAAGTAACAATGTCTGGCTTACATAGTTGATTAATACATGAACAATGGGCTGGTGATTAATTTAGGATAAAAACTAGCCAAATACATGGTTAGGCAACCTATGTCAACCCAGCCAGTCATACCTATTACAACACATCTAACAGTGCATGTGAGACAAATCCATTCATGGCTCAAGCCACTCTTCTCTGGCTTGTGTTTAAGCATATTGCAGTGCAAGGCTCCCACCCTTCTAAAAGTCCTGTCTGCCCTGAAGCTGGGGGCAGGAGGTAGTCAGGGCCCCTCCAGACTTCCTCCAAATTGGCAGTAGGTCTTAAAATACAAAGCCAGGCTCCTCTTGGCTGGGAAACCCAAACCGTGACTTTCACAACTTCATTACTCAGCTGATATATGAGAGATGTCTTGAAGGAGCAGGTGGACTGATTTAAGTTCAAAAGGAACAACTGCGGCTCAGAAGCTTTCTATTTCAGAGGAAGGCAGTAATCCCAGAGGCTCCAACTCTGCCCTATAAGGGATCCTTTCCATTCCCCAGCAGTGACCCTGAACACCACTCTTTAACGCTACTCATTGACACCAACATGATTTAAAAGTTCATGTTCTAAGCAGGCTGCATTTTCAACCTCCCCAGATACTTTATTATTATTTATAAGAACTCAGCATTGCCCTGGAAATCATGCCAGCAATGGCTGTGTTAAAAATGGGAGGATGGCCTACAGCTAGGACACACAAGACCTGCAATCTCTTGGTGCAAAGCTGTATTTAATTGGTAGCTATGATTGCTCCCCACCAGACACAACTCCTGTATTGGAGTAACTTCAGCTCTGCAAAAGGCTTTTAGAATCACAGAATTGCTTAGGGTGGAAGGGACCCTAAAGATCATTGAGTTCCAACTGCTTGCTTAGGTATAACACCACTTCTCATCTTTCTTTATCTAGACCATCCAGTCTTCAAAATTTAGGCTTCCTCTCACTGTCTGCAGAGGACTAGCAGTATGATAGCTTTGCAATCTCACTTTAGCCTCCAAAAATTATTTGAGCTAATAGCAGTAACACTTAACAGTATGTTGCTTTCTGCAGGGGGTTAGTAGAGATTGTCCTGGCAAAGGCCCAAAGAGGGAACCTTTCAAATGACCAGCTGTTAGCTTATACCAAAGTATGTGGTCTGTAGGACTCAAAGCAATGGCCAATCCTCCCATGCACTCTGCTTTAATTTGTAAAGGCAGATTTCATTCTTCCCAAGATGGAATAAAACAATAAATAAATAAAAAGAGGGGCCGAAGAGCTTTGAACTAAACTTCCAATTTCACTGCATGGCACGAAGAGTGATATTGCTCTGTGCTGGAGAAAAAAATAGGCCGAGAGCCCTAGACGTGGAAATGAAAATGCCTGTTTGGTGCAGGGTGGGCATGTAATGCAGGGCATACTGTTCTTTCCAAGGCAATTGAAGTCTACAGGAGGCTTTGCCATCAGGCTTGCTATTAACAGTCATTGGAATGAGCTCATCCACTCTCCAATTTAGCTCTCAGGACTTCTTGCTGAGGGTTGTCACATTGGTACTCCCCTACGCTCTTCCATATTTGTCAATCCAAGTGCTGTGACAGCGAGTGGGACTTGGCATGGCATTTGCCCACATGCTAGGAAAGCCAAATGAGAATACCAAAATCTCTGACACCCAAATGCCCCAATCCAGAGGGGCTTTCCAGGCCCTGGATAAAACAAATCAATAACAAGACAAGGACAAAACCACATAGCAAGAAAAATACCCAGAAAAATCGAGAGCCATGTATGAGACAAGAAACGATTTTCAATTCCTGCACTGTCCACATAGCTAACCGTGTCATCAAAGCAGCAAACAAAAAAGATCGGTAGTTATCTCCAAAAGGGACTGAAGAAAGCAATCCACTAAGAACAGTGTATACATTTTCACTGACGGCAATGGAAAATCTCCAGCTGGCTCAGGATTGCCTTTCAGTGGAAATTACATTACACGCAGTGAACGCAGCCTGAGATTAAGGCTGTTAGCACCTTGAGGCAATAACTGGTTTTTGTTTGTACAGTGGCAGAGAAAAATGGGGTTTGGACTTGACTGAAGTTTAAGGATGTAATAAAATCAATTAGCTAATAATGCCCACCATCTGGGAGTACAGCAAAACACAGCTTTGCCAGCCCAAGCTTCCTGCCTCCTCTCACCGCTTCAGGTGAAAACAAAGCTTACCTTTTGCATTTCATTCAAGCTAAAAACCCTGAATCATTTCATTTCTAATTTTATTTGCTTACATTCTTCAAGCCCTAGTGATTGTTCCATTCAAAAATTAAGCCACGCGTGCTCACTTGCTTTTCCAATAAACACAAGGATGTGGCAGTTTTATTGCTTGCCCTCCCAGCTGGCAGAGCAAAATCCCTCTTCCTCCTCAACCCCAAATGGCCAAGGGCCAGCTCGGCTCGTCCTCTTCGACCCCAAACACTTCTGTCCCCCACCAAAGGAGCAGAGACATCACGTCCTAAGAAGCATCTTAGCAGCTGGGAATGTGCCTGCCTGCCTGCCAGCTGGGAGGAGGAATGGGCTCCCTTGTACCCCAAGCCCATCCTTGGAAAAAACCCACCACCAGCCACAAAAGGGAGACAAGATGGCAGGAGCCCTACTCCAGGAGAAGGGAGGGAGGAATAAATTGGCTGTGCACGGGCAATGAAACAGCAATCAGACAAGAAACAGGTTCAATCCACCAAACAGCCATGCTTTTCTAACAGGGGCTGCTGCAAACTCAACACACCCATTAATACTATTTTTGTAATAATATATTATCTACACAGGTATATGTTCATATGTATTTCTTCCTCTCACCTGCCCCCTCATTTGTTTCTGAACTGCTTGGTATTTTCCACCAATAAATGCTTCTCTCACTACTGGGGCTGAGTAGTGGATCTCACCTGTCTCCCTGTCCTCCAC